ATTTTGCATGAAGAAACTATTTGCATGATGAAACTATTTGCATGATGAAACTATTTTTGCATGACAACTGATGAAATAACATTTTTCGTCAACTCGTCAATTTCGTCATTGCATCAGTAATCGGCTTACAGCTCTAAATCAGCTCTACGTTACACAATCTGAGCTGTTAGTTAGCCAAGCCATTAATTAGCTCGGCTAAGCCAATCGGCTAACGGCTCTGCAGAGCCGTTTTGCATCTCTATTTTATACCAAATGCTAAGATTTGCTTTGTACAAAATTCAAAAGCTGTATTTTCTGCATCTAATTGCTTTTTCCTATCAATTGTAACTATTTTATTACATGTGTCTTAATAAATAAAGTTTATATAATAATATTATCAATTCGTTTATTGTACAAATAAATTATAACATTACAACAATTATTAAACAAAAATTTAAATAACATAAATACAATATACAAAAAAACTACCTATTAACCCGTGATGAGAAATAGTTATTCTTTTTAGTTCATTATGGTACAATTTGATTGTGTTTGTTGACATTATCTACAAGAAAAGGGGGGAATGTTGCCAGGTACAAAAAGCCTATTGATGTGTATTCTCTGCATAATTTCGTGATATGTATCGTTTAATGTCAGGAACTTGGCATTTATTAATTGTCTCCTTAATAAGTTTTTCACATCCGATTTTTGTTACTTTGTGCATTGCATATATTATTTTATTCTGAACCTTTGGTTCATAAATTTTACTCATCCATATACGAACCATATGGACATTACAAAAGAGAACATCACATGCCTATTCACCTTTTGGTAACCTTGGAAAAGCACTAAAAATGCCTTTAGCCTCGATGCTACTTTGATCAGAAAGGAAGTAATGAGGCATCCAAAAATGTTTAAATCACCAAATTATTTGCAGAGCTTCCGCTAGCATCTCGCTGGTTTTAGCACTAACAAAAAAATGAGCACCGATATTCCAAGAACCATGGTTATCCTAAATGTACAGTATAAACAATCTCCAGTCATATCTGTTAGTTTTATGAGTAGAATCAATTAACATTAACCATCCAAACTGACAGAGCTTCTCAAGCTGATTTGGGTGTGCAAAAATGAAACCCTAAGCTGACCGATTATACCATTCAACTAAATATCCTTCTTTTTTTTTAAAAAAAATGGATTTTTTAATATTTATCTCTAAATTTAAATTACCTATAAAATGTGAGTCTTCTGATTTATAAATCTTTTTTTTTATATTATAATCCTCTATTTTTTTTAATTCCTTTACACTTGCTCCGAGATCCAACCTCCTTGTTGCATGCTCTTTGATTGCATTAACAATAACTGGAGACAGGTAATTCTTAATTGCTTCTTCCTCTACCAAGCTACGAATAAGTTGAGAGCATTTCAATTTCCCACTTTCTTTGATGGGATGTGTGTGATCTGGGCTATCTAGATATCATTCAACAAGTACCTTTTGTTCATTAATGAATCTCAAAACTCTGATTTTTGCATGACATAAGTCAGGTGAGTGCACTTTTGTTTTTCTATGCTTTTTGCATAGAACTTCTTCTTTATGACCATCTGATTAGTTATTTTAGTAAAACGGCATGCATATGCCACCTATGAATTGCCATTATTTTGGCTTTTGGAATTGTACTTAGACCAAATGTTTGTGACAAGGGGCCACCATTCCTTATCGAAATCCTGAACTTAAACCTCAAACGAATGGTTGATGTTAAAAAGAAGCACGTGTCTTTGATCAGGAGTAAGATGTGATGATGTATATAATTTGGTTACTTGGTTTATATAAGTATTGAACATTACTGTTTTATTTTCCTTGTCTAAGATGCCAGTGTTATTCATATCTATCATTCAAGGTTTTTTATTTAATAAAAAAAAAAAAAAAAAAAAAAATCATAATATTTAAAAAAAAAAAAAAAAAAGATTTGACTTTCAAATTACTAAGGCCTTGAAGTTTTTTAACATTGCAAGATATACTTTAATTCCCAGGTATGATATGTATTAACAAAAAAAGAAAAAAAATATTAAAAAAACATTACTATGTTACTATTTTGAAGTAACATCTTCTACACTGCAAATAAAGGTTAAATGTCATTAAAAAAAAAAGTTTTCACACTTTAAACCCTCCAAATAAATTTAAGGAGAATTTACAAATAAGGGTCCAGAAAGTGAAAATAATTACAAATAAGGGCCCAAATTAAAAATAATTACATATGAGGACCTAATTTTAAAAAAAATATTACATATAAGGGTCTAAGTCTATTGATGGATGAAAAATGTGAGCACAGAACTACTGTGCCACAAAGTATTATGATCATTGACTTATAATAATAGCAAAATCACAATTATTGATTGTTTTATCATAGACATTTAGAGTTATCTAGATATTAATTATAAGATAAAAATAAATGAAGTGCTGGCAACAATCATTTTCACTTAAATATTGTATAAAAAAATAGTGTTAAACTAGCATAATTATTTATAAGATGATGAAGTTTCAACAGAGTAGCTCTCAAGAGTAGAAAAATTATCTTAATATTAAATGTTATTCCAATTCGTAGTGCTTTACTTGATATCATAATGGTTTGTTATTACAATAACTGATTTTATACAAAGAAAATAAAAATTTATTAAATTTAAAAAATTTCTTTTCTTGTATATAATTACTAATTTACAATCGATCATTACATTTTTTATATACTTAATAACTAAATTTATCAATGCTTATATTTCTTATACTAATAACAATCAGGTCATAGGCTTGAATAACATTACTATTATTTTGGGCCCTTATATGTAATATTTTTTAAAAATTAGGCCCTCATATGTAATTATTTTTAATTTGGGCCCATATTTGTAATTATTTTCACTTTCTGGTCCCTTATCTGTAAAATCCCCTAAATTTAAACATTGTGTAAGAAAAAAATGCATCAAAAGAAAAAAAAAAAAAAGAAAAAAATCTATATAAATTGTACATTTTGTGATTACCCGATGATTGATGATCATCAGAAAATTTCGTGATAGACCTAGCTTTAAGCGACCCCTATATATATTTATTATATTAAGATATTATAAATTATTTGTTAGATACTTATGCTAAAAATATATTTGTATTGTGTTTAATTTAAAGTTTAGAGTACTTTATATAAAACAATTTTTTTAAAAAAAAAATATCATTTATAAGTGTTAAAAAAGGATCTAAGTTCTGCTATATAACAAAATTTTTCTAATTTATTTAAATACTACTAATTGCAAATGCAGTTTAATTCATTCTAATATTACAGAAAACTTTTTTTAAGCAAAATATTCAAACTATAGTATAACATCCAATCTTAGATTATATAAATTTTTTTTAAAATAATTATATTATAGTTTTAATATCTATTACTTAAATACTTGGAATGTTTTTTTAATTAACTATGCCTTATTATTAAACTTAAAACTAATTATTTTTTTTATTTTTATTTTTATTTTTTTTTTTAATATTAACGGTGAGGCCATGCCTTTAATTTTATTGAAATTCAATTGAAGTTTTTACAAAAAAAAGCTTGCTTTTAA